TAGGGTCAGGATGAGTCGGAATTGACTCAACAGCAATGAGTTTGGTTTTTTCGGTTTAGTGACTATGATGTCAAGCATCTTTTCATGTGTTTGTTAGCCATTTGTATATCTTCTTTGCTCAAATGTCTATTCAAATCTTTTGCCCACTTTTTAATTGGGTTGTCTTATTGAGTTGAAAGAGTCTTTATGATATCCTGGATACAAGTCCTTTATCAGATAAATGATTTGCAAATATTTTCTCCCAGTCTGGGGTGGAAACAGGCACTCTTCCTTGCCCTGTGAGAGTGCTGGACACCTCTAAGCCTTTCAAGTGGTTCTTTCCTCACAAGCATGCACTGGCCCATACTCAGCTGCGTCCTGGAACTGCAGCTCTCTATAGTTCTCTTGCTATATAGCAGTCTTTCCTAGTACTCTGTTCAGTGAAGTACAGACACCTGGACCTTTCCTCCTTTCCACTTCCTCCACTCAGGGAGTCTGCTAAGCTGGGTTTCCCCCAGCCTGCACCACAGCTTTGAAACTCTCTCCACTGTCCCTGTTACTCCATGTTGGCCAGAAACAGAAGTCTCAGGAGAAGTTTAAAATGTTACTTTGTATACAAGTTCCCCAAAGATTTATCTACCCTTACAGGCAAAACTCCTTCTCCTCCCTATATACCAAATCAAAAACAAAAAAAACCGTTGCTGTCGAGTTGATGCCGACTCAGCGACCCTATAGGACAGAATAGAACTGCCCCACAGGGTTTCCAAGGTTGTGGGTTTCCAAGGCTGTGATCTTCATGGAAGCAGACTGCCACATCTTTCTCCTGCAGAGCAGCTGGTGGGTTCCAAATGCTGACCCTTCGGTTAGCAGCCAAGTGCTTTAACCACTGCACCACCAGGGCTCTTTTCCCCAAATAACAGCCCACTTCAATTACTTCTGGAGAAACCAGGTCCTTGTAACTGTGTAGCACATTACAGCTGACAAAGTAGTTTCAAATATTGAGGTAACATGGTTTTATGTTGGGAAAATATATGACTTGTGCCGTACTGCTAATAAGAAATTCATCTTCATGTGAAAAAAGGATGGTTATTAAAAACCCCATAGAAAAAGGCATAGGGTTGAACCTTGTGGGGATAGATCTAAATCTCTACATGTAAAAAAAGACAAAATAACAATAGCCACCACCACCTCACCTAGTGCTTTAAAACAAGCATTTCCTTTTGAATTTACTCACTGTGGTGGGCACTGGTGTTGCTTGTCTCTGCCAGGTTGATATCATACTGGGCTGAATTGGCCCTCTGAAGGTGGCCCTTCCTGATAGCAAAGGGGAAAGAGACACAAATTGAAAAGGGTAAGTGAAAAGCATGTCAGAACAACTAGAAAGTAAGTTTAAACTTGAATATTTGAGGTTTATTTTCTTCTCCACAACTATCTGAAATTGTCAGGGTTGCCCTGAAACTGGGTTCCATTATTTAACAGATGCACCCAGGCAGGTAGGTCATCTGGGGGCACTTCAGATGTTGATGATGCCACTTTTTTGCTTAAGAAAGCAGAACTGTTGTCTTCTACACCAAAGGCCCTTATATAATCTTTAGAGACATGTCATATCTTAGTGGAATGTTCTTGAGCTCTTTTTAAGATTAGTTTCCATTATTAGTTGGAACCCTATGTGACATAGGCTAGCTTTAATCAACTATAACATTAATGGCACTTTAGAACTCTTTTTGGATCTTTGTAAGAGTCCAGTTCATCCATTTTTAAGCCATCTGAGCAGTTAATATGCTTGTAATTATATTCAGGTGATCATGATAAAGGTTTTTAAAAAATATTAAAAAATATTTTAGAATGTACAGTTATTTTTTCAATATGTCAATGCTCAGAAGTATGAGTTTGTGTTAATGAAAACGTATTCAAAACCACTTTTATCATAGCAAAATGAAATGTATTTTGTAAATACACACTGGCTTCTCCTCCTGAAGTACTATACTGATGTCAGCCCAGATTTCAGCATTAGATAGGGTATCACTTTAGCCCTCATTCAAAGCTGATACTAATTAGTTACTGAAGTTCAAAAGGCTCTCAGCTTAAAGCAATTTAACCACGAATGGACCCAAGAACCTTACTAAACAGTGACTTAGTTTCATTTGTGAAAGCACCACATTTTTTTTCCCTTCCAATAGTGATATTTATTCCTTTTTTTAAATGTACTTTAGATGAAGGTTTACAGAGCAAACAAGTTTCTCATTAAACAATTAATACACATATTGTTTTGTGACATTGGTTGCCAAACCCACAACCTGTC